AAGATTTCACTATGATATGTATAACAGATATATAATGTACTGTGGTAAAAATTCGCCCCATCTAGCTTACTCTTCCCCCTCTTTGTTCTTCTTTTCCACAGCTTCTGGTGGGGTTTTTTATGTAATTTTTATATGGAGGATGGTTCCTTTTTATAATATCTTCCTCTTGTTTCCAAGATTTCTCTGATGGTATTAACTACACTTTATTTCAAGTTTTCCTCTTTTACCTATACTGTTTTGTTCTCTTTGGGACCTTTATTTCTTTTATCTCTCTGGTCTTTTTCTTTCATAGCAGAGGATTTCCCCAGATGATATGACTATAGACTTCTCACTTACCTTGAAAGCTGACTAGAAGCCCCTAGACATCTTGAGGCCTAGGTGGAGTGACTCACTGTAGACCAAGTTCGTGGTAAATGGATATTTCCTTGAGTATCATTAAGTCCTCTCTCATTGTGGTTTGTTTTCTCAGAAAAGTTCTTACCAGTCCTGTCCTCTACAATAGGGCCATGCCTTAGCCTCCAAGCTTTAGGGGAACCCACTCTGCTCCAGCTCTTACCACCCCCCAACCCCTTCAAGGGGAAGTCTATAGATCAAGATGTCTTGCCTACCTGGAACTCAAGCCATTCTCTTTTAGACTGCTCTCCAGGCATCTAGGATGACAGAATCATCTGACAAAATGGTCTGAACATGTGTGCTTCTGGTCTTTCAATGTCCTGAGCTAGTCTGACCACAATGCATCCTAACCCAAGAAGGGCTACATGGTGACAGTTTACTGGAAGGGTATAGACAGAGTGTGGGTTATAGTCTCTATTGGCTACATATCTGGAGTTCATGGCTCAGGAGCTGGCATTAAAAAAGGTATAGGCTTTGATGTCACAGGCTTTTGTCTAACTTATTCTACATGTCTACGATTTTCAGAGCTTGCAATTTAAGGAAAAAATAAAATTGCACAAGCAATCCTCCAAATACTTGTTCTGGAACTGGTTACACCATAACTATCTACATTCTATTACCTTTTAAAATTGTGGAATACCCAGGGACCAGTGACCCATGCCTGTAATCCTAGCTACTCAGAAAGTTGAGTTCTGAGAGCATGGTTTGAATCCAGCCCACACAGGAAACTCTGTGAGACTCTGACCCCCCAATAACCAACAAAAAGCTGGAAGTGAGCTGTGACTCAAGGAATGGAGCATCAGCCTGAATAATAAAGCTAAGGGACAGCACCCAGAACCTGAGTTCAAGCTCAAGTGACAGAAAAAAAAATGTGGAATAATACAAACCTTTAAGACTAGACTAAATAAATGAATCTCAAAAAATAAGAGGGTGGCTGGGCACTGGTGGCACATGCCTGTAATCCTGGCTATATAAAAGGTTGAGATCTAAGGACTGAAGTTCAAAGCCAGCCCAGGCAGGAAAGCCCCTGAGCCTCTTATTTCCAATGAACCTCCAGAAAGCCAGTAGTAGAGCTATGGCTCATATGCTAGAGTAATACTTGAGCAACAAAGCTCAGGGACAGCACCAAGGCCACGAGTTCAAACCCCAGGACTGACATACACCCAAAAAAAGGTGTTAGTCATGGATGGCAACCAGTGGCTGAGCCAGCTCCCTGTGCCCCTGTGCCAAGGGGTAAAATGTTGCTGTGCCTATACACTATAGATACTAGACCTTCTCTCTACATACACATGTATACATATGTATGCAGCCATATGAACACAAGGAGAAGAAAAGAAAGGGAGAGATAGACAAACAGACCTGACAAAATAGCCAATTCAAATCAGCCTCCTTTGAAAACCATCCTAATAAAAATGGGAGGCCCCCAAAGAATGCTTTTTGCCAGGTTGGTTTAACAAGTAATCTCTTTGAGAAATAATTCAGGAACTAATTGTAAAGAACTCCACATCAGTAATGCAATTGTTCTCAGATCGTTCCCACTCTCAAAGCCTGGCAGAAGTCAGAAAAGCAAATTGTCTGTCATCCTTCTGTTGAGATTTGTTAACCCAACCCAAAGTTACTTTTCAGCCTCTGAAGAAACCAGATTTGCACTTACCTACTTCTGCCAGCAGATGGTAGTCGAAGCTTATTTGGGCACAGTAACTTTAAGACTGAATTTGTAATCCTGTGAGTTTCTTCCCTTTTCAGACTTACAGATGTTCACTAACTTGGTCATGAAAGGTAGTGCCAGCCACAGTTTTTAATTGGGTATTTGCAAGGGGAAGTACATACAAGACTTATTATGTCAGCACATTCGGGAGTACTGAGGAAGAACAGGGTGAATGAGTCTGGCCAGAAGATATAGTTCTGAGCGTACTCCACAATGACCCTTCCCCTCCTCTTTCCAAAGGCACTGGAAACCAGAGATGAGTGTGCTTGTGTAGACAATCCAAATAAATAGCTTTTAAACACAAAAGTCTAATCTTATATTCTTCAAGGGTGCAGAATACAAGATCAACCCACAAAAATAAGTTATATGTCCGTACACAAGCACGGAGACAGGCATTGTAATTTTACCCACACAGGCTATCAGGAGCACAATTCTGCCCTTACCTGCTAGCTGGACTTGTGCAAATACTTCAACCATTTGAACCTCAGTGTCCTTGGAGAGAAAAAAATGGCACTAAAAATACAATCTCAGGGTATAAGCAGACTTCACACAATACAATGAATAGGGACACAATAAACACAAAGAGCCTTTCCAATTGTTTAATCCATTTTTCTGTTATCCCAAGTCATCCCCAAGGTGGACTTTTGTTGTCTTCTATAGAAAAAGAAATTGCTAAGCAAATACAAATTTCAGCTCTGGGCCTTGCAATTATCATCACACATATTGAATTTGCTTATATATCCACTTAATGCTCTTATGACTGTTAAATTCCACAGCATCTTCTATTTAGGACCCTCTCCTCTCATAGACTTTCTGGCCTTACGCCTTTATCTAATCTATCAACATCAGATGTGACCTTCTCATTTTTTGTTTTTTGTTTTTTTTTTTTTTTGGTCAGTCATGGGGCTTGAACTCTGGGCTTGGGCACTGTCCCTCAGCTCTTCAGCTCAAGGCGAGCACTCTACCACTTGAGCCACGGCACCACTTCCCGTTTTCTAGTGGCTTATTGGAGATAAGAGTCTCACGGACTTTCCTGCCCAGGCTGGCTTTGAACCAAGGTCCTCAGATCTCAGCCTTCTGAGTAGAGAGCATTACAGGCAAGAGCCCTTAGCACCTAGTTCCTAGCTAGTTTATAAATAACTCCCCACCCCCATCCCCGCCCATACACACACACACACACACACACAGTGATCTTGGAGTCTTAGCAGTTGGTTTCACCACAGGAAAGCCTCCTAGGGTGTTAGTCTGTACAGGTCTGACATCACACCCAAGCCTTTGTTTCATGTCCTGTGCTTGCTGCTTCCTCTGCAATCACTTTCTCTTGACTCTCCTCTGTCCAGCATCAACTCTTTCAGAAACTTCCCCTGTGGATCAGTTAAGTCAGTTCTCTGTTGCGATAATACATACTTGAAGCAATTAACTTATAAAGAGAAAAGGTTCACTGTTTTTGGAGGTTTCCATCCTCAATCACTTTACCCTGTTACTTTGGGGCTGGGGTGGGGCAGAACATCACAGAGGAAGTTCATGGCAGAGCAAAGCTGCTTCCCTTATGGCTGAGGAGCAAAAAGTGAATAAGACACAATCCATTTCAAATGTGCCGCACCCCCCCATGACCTACCAACTCCCATGAGGCCCTACCTCTTAGTTCCCCCCAGCAAGCCTTTCACAGATGGGTCTTTGGGGGACATTATAGATTTTAAATATGACAGGCTAAGCTGGGAAGGTGGTTCAGTGGTAGAGTGCTTGCCTTGCATGCATGAGGCCCTGGGTTTGATTCCTCAGCACCACATAAACAGAAAAGGCCAGATATGATGCTGTGGCTCAAATGGTAGAGCACTAGCCTTGGGCTGAAGAGCTAAGGAATAGCACCAGGCCCAGAGTTCAAGCCCCACAACTGACAAAAATAAAATAAATTAAATTAAATATGACCATCTAATTTTAAATTAATAAACTATATAAATGTAATTAATAAACTAAATCAATTGATGGATTCATTTTAACATCAATATCGACTTTAAATAAATACCAGCAGTCAACAATAAAAGTTACTGAACATTTATTATCTGCCAACACTAAGGATACACTGTTGAACCAAATAGGAGGAAATCCTGATCTCATGGCACTTAAGGTCTCCTGGAGATAGACCAATGCTAGTAATTTTAAGTAGATGATTAAGTAATTGTGCTGCAAAGGAGAGAGTTTACATCTAAATGTTTAAAACCAGTTGCAAAAGTGTCAACTGCAAAACACCACATGGATGCAGGACTGAATAAAACACCCTTGTCTTTTTGTGCCTGAAAATATGTTGACACAGATGATGAAATTTTGGCTTGGCTTCCATTGTGTCTCATAGGCTGCAACTGTCAACATAAGGTCTTGAAAAAGTGATGCAGTGGGCCTTCTAGGAAGTGTCCTTCTATAGGATAGTGGCCTGAGCAACTGGGTAAAGCCAGCAAGCAGTGCTCACATCTACATCCCACCAGACACTGAAGAGGACAAGCGCATGATAACCTGCAGTCAGGTTCTGGAAGAGGTTCAGTTCTGCCAATTCCCATTTGCTAGTTATTTTAGATCTGGTATTTCTTGGACTTTCTGGCCAGCCTGGTTTCAAGCCACTGTCATCTAAATCACAGTCTTCTGAATAGCTAGGATTATAGGTATGTGCTACCAGCACCCAGCTAGACACTGAGTTTTTAACAAACACTTCAAAGTCATAAAACCCATAGCTACCTTCATTTACCACCTCTTTTTTTTGGGGGGGGTCCGGTTGTGGGGCCTGAACTCTGGGCCTGGGCACTGTCCCTCAGCTCTTCAGCTCAAGGCTAGCACTCTACCACTTGAGTCACAGTGCCACTTCTGGCTTTTTTTCTTTTTGCTTATGTGGTGCTGAGGAATCGAACCTAGGGCCTCAGGCATGCAAGGCAAGCGCTCTACCACTGAGCCAACTTCCCAGCCCCATTTACCACCTCTTTAATTGACCTCAGGAAGCACAGAATCAGAGGTGCACTTCTTACCCTTCATTCTGCATGCCAGAAGAGGGCACAAGGACCAGGCTCTATCTCAACAGCCCTGGGGGACAGAGCAAGCCTCGTGGGTCCTATCCTATGTTCTGCAGGCAGCAGCACAGCCTCCCATAGATGCAATGGTGCAACAAGTTGTCTGAATCCATGGGCTCTGAATAAGGACAAGGAAGCCTGAGCCTGCACATTGAACAACTGAACAGCCCAGTGACAGTGGCACTGGCTTAAGAAGTGCTGCGGACGGTGGGGAGCTAGATCTTGGAGAAGAGAAGAGATTGGACAAATAGTCCAGGCAGATGGTACTAAAGAAGGTAGGGTTCATACACTTTGTCCACACATGAGCAAGCTTCGGAAGGACACTGGCAGAGCAATAGCAGAAGTGACATGCGTTCTCTACATTGTTCCACATGACAGCATTGGAGTCACAGAAAGAACTTTTGGGACCTCAGTATCACCACAATCCCGAGTAAGCTGTCTGATACTCCCTGGACATATTCAATTAAAGCATTGGTCAGTAGTGGTACAGATGGTGTCCTTGAACTTCACACTTGTCTCTGGACTAGGATTTGGATGTTTTTGTGTAGAGGGACCAATTCTATCCCATAAGCTCTATGAGAACACTGCTTATATTACCTGACACTGATTGTAACTTTCTCATGTGTCAACTCAGAAGGCAACAAGATTGGTGGCTCCAGCGAGGAAGAAAAATGAGAAGAGATTATTACCTTGTGCCTCTACTCAAAACATAAATATCTGAGGAATGTGGTGAAATCTCCCTCTGAGCCTCTGAGCAGACCCCCATCCACTTCTACTTTCAACAGAAGTGGCTGAGGCCCCATTCCTCAGCACAGAGAAGTCGATGAGAGCATAAAGATTCTAAGAAAGCGACAGCTGAGGGACTTAGAGTTGGTTAACAGTCCCCATGAGCCTGTCTATAAACATCACCTGACTATAACGGATCATTCTTCAAATTCATATGGCAGCTCCACAAGGCGTGAGCATAAGCCTTCAGTCGGGAGGCCTCAGGAGCACTTTTTCTTAGCATGTTCTGGCATATGTGCAGAGTGAAAAGTCTGAGGGCACAGGTGCAGCATGTGCTCCCACCCAAGAAAAAGTACTGAATCAAGCTGCGGATCTCAACAATAGTAGCAATCATTGTGAAGGAGCAAGTTGAGCGCATGTAGCAAACACTTTAGGAGGTATGGCCCTGGTGTCTCTGGGCAGCAGGTGAACTTTGGCTTTCTTCGTCCTCCTTCACCACAGGGAGCACCTGAGATCCCACAGACAGGAAACGTGGAGCCGAGGACTCAAAAGACGTATGCATCAGGTACACGCCAAAGTTAACCTGTCAATGAACAACAGTGACAACAAGAAAGTTAGAAATTCAATAATTGTGTAAATAATAATATTCCACTAAAATAAAGTCACATCTCTAAGAATATGGACGGAAACACGGAAGTCACGGGTGGCAATCAAGAGAATCAAGGTTGAAAGCCTGCCCAAGCAAACTGTTAGCAAAGCCCCATCTCAATCAGTAAGCCAGAGGTGGTGGTACATGTCTGTGATCCCAGCTACTATGACAGTAGCCACAGGCAGGAGGATTATGTTATGAGTCAAAACTATAAGACCCCACCTTGAAAATCACTAAAGCTAAAAGGGGCTGAGTGTATGGCCCAAGTGGTAGAGTGCCCACCTAACAAGCATAAGGTCCTGAGTCCAGCTCCTAGTACCGCCAAAGCAAAAGTTTATTATAAACCACTCCCTGCAAAAGAGAGCCCTTACGAGGACATAAAAATGGTCCCAGGTCCAGGCGCTGGTGGCTCATGCCTGTAATCCTAGCTACTCAGGAAGCTGAGATGTGAGGATTGTGGTTCAAAGCCAACCCAGGCAGTAAAGTTCATGAGACTCTCATCTCCAATTAACCACCAGAAAACTGGAAGTGATGCTATGGCTAAAAGTGGTAGACAACTAGCCTTGAGCAAGAAAGAGCTCAGGGACAGTGCTTAGGCTCTGAGTTCAAGCTCTATGACCCATAGGGGGAAAAAAAATGGTCCCGAGAATAAGTCTGGGAATGCTCTCTTGCTCCAAGCTAGGTACTAGTTAGTTAGTTAGCTAGTCAGTTCCTTAAGATTTTTGTACACAGGGTAAGAGTACACAGGACTTCTTGTACTCTCTTGTCAACTTTGTCTATCTAGTGTTTTTGATTGTGCATGTAAGAATTACAGTGATGCTGAGAAATCATACTTCCATGGACAGTATTGTTTGTTCCTACCCATCCCCTCTCCAGGAAACCAGTATAAGGTAGGCTCAAGGTCCCACATTCTCAGTTATTGCAGCCCCCAACCGGGCAGACATGTTGGTATAGCATTCAAACAGAATTGACATCTGTACAGAGATCTGTGTAAATTAAATACCATACAAAACCCTGCTCTTCCGTGCCCTGGAGATTGAACCCAGGGCCTTGTATATCTTAGGTTAGAGCTCTACACTGACCTCCAACTCCAGCTCTAAAAACTTCTTTGGGCAGTCACCAGTGGCTCACACCTGCCATCTCAGCTACTTAGGAAGCTGAGATCTGAGGAACATGGTTCAGAGTTAGCTGGGGCAGTGAAGTCCTTGAGACTCTTATCTCTAAAATAACCACTCAAAAGCCAGAAGTGGAACTTCAGTTCAAGGGGTAGAGCTCTAGCCTTGAAAAAGTAAAGGTAAGGGACAGTGCTCATGCCCTGTGAGTTCAGGCCCCAGTACCAGCATATAATCAGGTTACTGAATCTATAAGACTACTGCATTCATACTAAGGTATTTTACTCTTCAGGAGCTCTCTGTGGTAGAGAAAATAGTGATCAAGATAACAGATAGTAAGAAACTGAATAGAAAGAAAATAAGATGGGGCCAAGAATGAGGTAGCCATTAATTTGGGGATGTATAGCAAATTATGTACTGCTAAGAATTACACAGCCCTGTTATCAGTGTAGTTCTGGCATCAAGACTACACCAAGATGTTAAAACATAGTATCACATGTTCTAATCATGCTTACCTTTCTCTCTCGACTCTCTGAAAGTTTTTGGAAAACATCTTGGTTTCGCTGCCCAGTGTTTTGGTCAATGCAAATCATCTGGCATCTGTGACAAGGCCCCACCACCTGGCAGGTGAGAATGGAAAAAAAACAGTGTCATCACAAAAGTGACTAGACTCTCATTCTTTGTATGGATGAATCACACAGAGGTATCCAATACCCCAAGCCTGAAAGTAGTCCTTCTTTCCAGTGCATGCTGGGAAGATCTGCAAGTATTTGTCAGCTGCAAGGTTAGCACACAGACTCTAGAGAAAGAAGACTGGGTGACAAAGTTAACAGTTCTCAGGAAATGAGGGGGATCTGAGGAAGGACAGCACTCAGGGAATGAGTACCCAAAGTGGCAGAAGAGAAGCCACCAATCAGCCAGCACTGGGTCACTATGAAAAAGCCATCAGGAAAAAACTTCAGGAGAATGATGGAAGAGGTGACACTGATCACAAGATATGCTGTACTCATAATCTGACTCACTGAATTGAAACCCCTTTAAACAACTACTTAAAAGTAAGAATAGGAATAACTTTCTTTAGAAAGAAAGAATCTTCATGGGGCCCTGCCTTTTGACCAGCAACTTCATGTTTAGGAATTTAACTAGCAAAGAACCAGAAGAACAGAGCATGTGCACAGGTTTATCCTCACATTATTAACAGACATCTTAGAGCACAGTGCCTAAGCAAATCACTCTATGTGATAAATGACATGCAGACATTCACATTAACCACACAGCCAGTTACTGATGACTTGAGCCTATAATCTTAGTTACTCAGAATCTGAGGATTGAGGTTTAATACTATCCAGGCAAGAAGTCTTTGAGACTGTTATAATTACTTAGCCAGCAAAAAGCTGGAAGTAGAGTTGTGGCACCAGTGATAGAGCACCAGCCTTAAGCAAAAAAAAATGTCATGAGAGAGCATAAAGCCCTTAATTCAAACCCCAGTTTTAGTACCAAAAAATAACTAAATAAATAACCACATAGACCATAATTTATCTACAAATGCCTTTAAATAAAATGTAGAAATAATATACATGTTTTGTGCATAGATGTACATATATATCCATATCTATGTATATGTAAACACATTTGTGTGTATTTATAAAGTGTGAGATGTACACATTCCTATATAGCACACCAATACAATACATAAAACACATTAACATCCAGGTACCAGTGACTTACACTTATAATCCCATCTACTCAGAAGGCTGATATCTGAGGATTGTAGTTCAAAGCCAGCCAGGGCAGAAAAGTCTGTGAGACTCTTATTAACCACCAATAAACTGAAAGTTGAACTGTGGCTTGAGTGGTAGAGAGCTAATATTAAGCAAAGAAGCTCAGGAACAGTGCCCAGGCCCTGATTTCAAGATCCAGGACCAGCACAAATAATAACAATAATAATAATAATAAAGAGAAAAAGAAAAACACAGTAACAGCTGTTTGATATAGACAAAGAGGGCAGAACATCAATAATCAGTGGTCTATCATTTTATAATAATAAAACATCTCATAAATATAGAAAGGAGAGGGGGAGTTATACCTTAGCAGTAATGAGATAATTCGTTAATTCACATGTAAAAGATACAAAGGTACTTGATATTTTCTTTTGTCTTGAGACAGAGTCTTACTCTTCCTGTGTTGCCCAGGCTAGCAAAGAACTCCTAGACTGAAGTGACCTTCCTTCCTCAGCCTCCTGAGTGGCTGAGAGGACAGGCATGGGCCTTCAGGCCCAGCTAGTGGATTTTCTCTAACAATTTTTCTCTTCTGCTCAGTCGTAGGTGAATACCAATTGTGCACTGAAATTAAAAACCCTCAGCTAATCTGGACATGTCCTTGGCTTGTTCCTGTCACTTTCGTTTCTGTCACACTGTCACCCTGGCTCAGAACATTTAAACAATGGAAATAGAGACTCAAGATTCCCAGGCCACTTAGGCAGCAAAGGATGCCATAATGGAGTTGTGACAGCACCGGCCTGTGATGGCCTGGCGGACCTGTGACCTCTTCAGCCTTGCTTCCTCCTCCAGCAGCTTAGCTGGATTTAATGAGGATCCTAGACACTAGGCTAAGATGTCAAACCCAGGTCTGGCTCTCAATAGAGCTCAAAAGTGGAAACTGAGCACCAGTGACTTATGCTTGTAATCCTAGCTACTCAGGGAGGCTGGGATCTAAGGATTTAGGTTTAAAGCCTTCCTGGGCAAGGAAAGTTCCTAAGACTCTCATCTCCAATTCAACACCAAAAATCCAGAAGTGGAACTGTGGCTCAAGTGAGAGAAGACTAGCCTTGAACACAAAAGAAACTCAGGGACAGCACCGAGTTCAAGCCCCAGAACTCACACACACACACACACACACACACACACACCCCATAGTGGAAACTATCACTGTTACACATGCAATAAATGGGAACAAGGGCAGCTCTGTATCCAAAAACTTCTTAGCTTTTCTGTCCTGAAAATGGCAGGACCCTAAACCACCCACCAGGCCCTAGCTCAGGCTCCGGTTGCCACTCATTCAACAATATCTTTAAACCTGCTGTCACTTTGTTGGAAAGGTCCTCTTCAAATAATTCTTCAAGCCTGGCACCGGTGCTCACGCCTGTATTCCTAGCTACTCAGGAGTCTGAGATCTGAGGATCCCAGGTCAAAACCAGCCTGGGCAGGAAAGTCTGTAAGAGTCTTATCTCCAATTAATCAACAGAAACTGGAAGTAGAGCTGTGACTTAAAGTGGTGAGCTAAGGGACAGTGCCCAGGCCTTGAGTTCAAGCCCCACAACTGATCAAATAATAAGTCCTGAAAGTGGTCAAGAAGGGACATTTTCCAAACTCCAAGCTTCAAATACCAGCACAAAAAAGACAAGCTTTTTAAAACATCCCTTTTAAACATTTTTCTGGTACTTTGATTTACTGCTATCGTAAACACTTACTTTCTAGCCCACATTGTTCATTGAAAAAGAAGTAAAATGACACTGAAATGCAGTGAATTAGAAGAGAGGATCCTGAGCAAGTCCTCTCTCCTCTCCATCCTCACAGACAAGTGTACTAAGGAGTCATGAGCCACCCCACACCGTGTATGGTGTGGAACTGCACACAGCCAAATACCTGCTCTGGTGTGGATGCACAACACACAGGGACATTCTTCCATGTCTGAGCCTCGGCCACCTCAGCCTCCCGCATGCAGCTTCTACCATGGATGGCCTGGAATTCCCCTGACCTGGTGTGTGTGCTGAACTCCTCTCCATTGATGCCACAGAACCTGTTTTTGGTGCTTGCCTACGGTCAATCATCTGGCAGTTAAAATCTTAACTCACAGCTATCTTTCCTATGTGGAAGTTTTTAAGAGTCAGTCTCCATAAATGAGATTAAACTAATAGGCATACAAGTATTTATGACTTGATGATATCCAGAGAAAACTGCCTTCCTGTCCTGCCTTACATGGAGGACTATCAAAATGTACCTTTTTGTGTGCTAGTACTGGAGATTGAACTCAGGGCCTGGGAGCTGTCCCTGGGCTTCTTTTGCTCAAGGCTAGAAGTCTACCACTTGAGCCATAGCTCTACTTCAAGCTTTTTTGTGGGTTAATTAGAGATAAGAGTTTCATAGACTTTCCTGCTCAAGCTGGCTTTGAACCATGATCCTCAGATTTAAACCTCCTCAGTAGCTAGGATTATAGGCATGACCTGTACCCAGCTAAAATGTGATTTTTGAAAGGCCCAGTATTAACTATACCTTCTACTATGTAATGCCTGCCTAGGACTGCATGGTATGAATATAGCATAATTACACTTCTTGTGTGTTATTACGTACCCACTAGGATGTTACTATGATACTTCAAGAAGTAATCTGATCATATGTCTTTGCACCCTTATATGCTCTGGAGAGATAAGCAGTTTGTTCCTAGTGTGACTGTGTGATGGATCATCTTCCAAGGAGGTGACTCCTGAATGGAGCATCATGCCAAGCAGAATGGAAAGCAAGGGCAAAGGCATTGACGCAGGAAGGGTGGTTTGTTACAAGGATGGAGAAAAGATCAATATCAGACCCACAGTATTAAAGGAGCGATAAGCTAAGAGAGACCAGCAGGGTCTAATTTCTGGGGACTTTGTCAATCACATGAGGAGTACAGATTGTAGCCTAAGACTGTGTCCCTTTCCTCAGGTAGCTGAAGCCCATGGTGAAGACTTGGGAGCCTCAAGCCAGGGGAGAGATGGCATTGGAGGCTTTATCTCTGACCACCATTTCTTCCCTAACCATCATCAAGGGCAGAAAAGGAGGAGGAGGGACAAAAGAGGCTCAGCCATGGACACGGAGGACCTCCACACAGCCACAAAGCACAGCAAGGGTCAGGAGGATGAGTTCTCATAGACACAAGTATTCTAAGGAAGATTGAAGTCTAGACAGCCTGGGGCATGGGTGCAGCATGGAGCCCTTGGGTCTGTGCACAGGGCACATTCTCTTTGTGTGCAGGAAACTTCATGCTGCACCCTCACAGGGAGAAGGGATGGAACTGTCAACAGGTGTCCCAGAATACTGAGATGTGGGTGGTCAGAGCCTAAGGTTGGAGATGGGAAGATGGAGATGGGAGATGGTTGGGGGTTGGGGCCAATCATCAATGACTTCCCTTGAGGAAGGATTATAAAATTATGTGGAACTTACCTGGAAATGCAAAGAGCCAATTGAAACTTCGTCCCATCTCTCTTCTTCAAACGCCCTTGTTCCATTCATGATAATATTGGCCCGGAAACGTGAGTTGAGATCTTCCATGGTGAATTCTTTCTTTCCATTCTCATCACTGGTTCAGACATACCAAGACCAGCGTGAGGGGGGAGGATGACAGATAAAGTCATGATACAATAATTCAATGAGTCTGCTGTGTGCTGCCTGACTTTATCAACTCTACTCTGGCCCTGGATGGTCAAAACACACATAAGTGTCATTTATGACTGTGTAGCCATTGGTTAAAGACACATCAAGAGCGCAGAGAGAAGCCCAAAAGAGTCAGGCAAAGGGTGAATAGATCTTAACTGTGGAAATGGAGGAGTTGGAAACTACAGGAAAGAAAGCAAATGAGTGAATTTCTGAGACACATCACCATTTTGTGAAGTGGGATTTAAAGAGCTCTCAACAGACTGTAGGTCTCAAGGACCTACAAAGAGCCAAGACCACATGTTCTTTTGGATATTAAAACATCATAGAGAAAGATAGAGGATAATATCCTTCACTTCCATCCTGGTTTCAGTTTTAGCCAACATTTAATATTTTTGCCATTCTTGTTTTACACTTTTGTTTCCTTCCATGAAGTTCTACAAAATGGCCTCTGTACCTCGGTGAATCTCCCACCTCACCCTGAACATAGGTCTTCGGGGCCTCCCAACAAAGAAACACACTATACGGCCCTGTGAGGTTGAGTGTATGAAGGGTGAAGAAGTCTGAATAGAGGTGATCGTCAATGGAGTTGACTAAGAGAGGATACAATTCCTACTAGCACTATTACATGAGTGCGTACATCTGTAAAAGTTTCACTAAATTGCACTTTGTGTATTTAGTTTTGTTTTTGTTTCTGGTTTTGAGACAGGATCTTCCAAGGCAACCCTGGCTGCCTCTGCCTCCTAGGTACTGAGATTGCAGTATTGGGGACAAAACCTAGTACCCTTTGCATACTTGGCAAGTATTCTACTACCAAGTCAAAGCCCTAGACTCCTAAAATGGTTTAAATTTGTGGGGTCCAACAGGATCCTTGAGCATGGTAGAATTTGTCCTGAAGACACAAAACTAAAAATCCACAATGCTCAGGAAGCAGGGTTGTCAAAGTTCTGCCTCCCAAATGGCCAAGGGTGTGTGAACAGCCAGAGACCAGCATAATTTACAGCTTTGCAATGAGTTATATGTAGCTCCCTTAATCTACAAGGGTCACCTACAAGGGTCATCTGAAGTGAGAAGGTTAGTATTTTCCAGTCTTTCTGCTTTTTTACTTTCTGGGTTGTATAGGCTTCCTTTGTGTATAGTAAAAGAGGAAGTTTTGTGTCCAGAGCTATTATGGTTATCATGTAAATGAGAATCCATCAAATCAGCAAATAGGGCATAGAGGAAGAAAAGCCAGTGTCCCAATGAACTATAAATACATTATTGGTCTCTGTCCTCTTATCTTTGATCATCTGCCCTATTTGGCAGCCTTACCCTCAATCAGCTGGTGGGAAATGTTGCCCTCTCCTGGTAGAAATTAGGGTTGCAACAAGTCTGTCCCTTACTTCCTATCTTTCCACATGAAGACTTGCAAAACACAACAGACCTCCTTTCTCCTGGCTGGGGTGTCCCAGGAGGAGACACCCTTACTGGGTGCCAGTGGCTCACACCTGTAATCCTAGCTACTCAGGAGGCTGACATCTGAGGATCATGGTTCAAAGCCAGCCTAGGCAGCAAAGTCATGAGACTCTTACCTCCAATTAACCACCAAAAAGCCAGAAGTGGAACAGTTGCTAAAGTAGTAGACCCAGGCCTTAAGCTAAAAAGTAATGAAACAGTGCCCAAGCTCTGAGTTCAAGCCCCAAAACCAGCACAAAAAAAAAACTAAAAAAAATAAAAAATAAGGGCCCCTCATTCAATTGCAGGTGCAACACAATTCCTCTCCCAAGAACAAGCTGACCTGCAGCAAGGAATATGATCATATGTTTTTACAAAAGACTACAAACCCAAAATTATTACAAATAGCCCATCTTTGTAGGGTCTGAGGAGACGACCTTGGCCACTGTTAAATGCTGTGTTTATATATGTTTTTAGAGTGTACAAACACATATGGCATATGAGAGTCAGTCGAGGTCCCAGGTTGGTCCCGTGGGCCATGGAGTAAAACGAGGAGCATGTGTCCCTCATGGCTCTGGCAAAACAGCTGGGTAAGTTTCCCTAATTGCCTGCTTAACTTGGGACTTCAATTTCCTCTTAAGAGCAGTAAGAGGGTTATTAGCCCAATCTGATCCTAAATGACCTCCTAAAATCTGGGCTCTTGGAAGAGCACTGGGTGAGAGTGAGCAGATAGGAGTAAACATTCCATCCAATAAAATAAAACACCTGCAATTAACTTTAAATCTTTCATACCCGCTCTTTTTCAGCTGAAAATGACTGCATGAAGTAGGACATGGCTCCTGGGGGACAGTGGGAGTGTAGGCAATGAAACTAGGTCAAGTGGTGGCAATTCAATTTAAACAAAGTTAGAAAATGGGATGACTTAAAAAAAAAAAAGCTAGGTATTCTCCACTGAGAATGTCAACAAGAATCAATGGAAGACACTACAGTTGGGATATGAAACATTCTCAAAGGTCATAGGAGAAAGGCTCAGCCCCAGCATGGTGCCATCAGGAGCTGGAGGAAACTTTAGAAGGTGGGGCCTAGGGGAAGGTCTTTGGGCCATGAGGGGATAGCCTGAAGGAGATCGTGAGACTTCATCTCTTTCTGGGTTTTTGTTTTCCTTTGTTCCTCCATCATGAGGTGGCTGGGTGTGCTCCACCAAACACTCCTGCCAGTATATGCCACAACAGACCCAAAGGAATGGGATCAACTCCACACAGATTGAAACCCCTAAAACCGTGAGTCAAAATAAACCTATTCATTGTCTAAGGTCTTTATTACGTTAGTAGTAAGTTGATTATTATGACTTGAATGTGAGCTCTCTCTCCATCACCAGAGTCTCAGGTTTTGAACATTTGGACCTCAGCTGGGAGGGTATAGAAATTTTAAGAGGTAGATTTAGCTGGAGGAAGTAGAGTCAGTGAGGGCAGGTCCTTAGGAGTATCTTGTCCCAGTTCCCCACTCCTTCCCTCCTCCCTTCTCTTTCCCTCTCTCCTCTCCCTCTCTCTCCCTTACTTTGCTTCTCCTTGCTTCTCTGTCTCTCTCTGTCTCTCTGTGTCACTGTCTGTCTGTCTCTGTCTCTGTCTCTGTCTGTCTATCTGTCTGTCTGTCTCTGTCTCTGTCTCTGTCTCTGTCTCTGTCTCTCTCTCTCTCTCTCTCTTTCTCTCTGTCTCTCCTGGCTGCCATGAGTGAGCTATTCAGCTGCATCACACCCTCTCCACCATGATGGACTGATACCTCTGACATTATGAAACCAAATAAATTGTTCCTCCTTTTAGTTTTCTCTTGAGTATCTTGTCACAAGCATGCAGAAGTAACTAATACATTGACTAGCACAGATGATTTTTTTTAAGATAAACCTCAGCAAGATTCATGGGAACTGGGAGTTTTCTGAGTTCTTTGAGCCTCAGTTTCTCATGTGTTACTAGAGGGTCTGAACTCATTGATGCTCAGATCTTTCTTTTCCAGTTGAGTGCCAGGCCAACTTCTAGGAGCAAATAGTTATACTTGGATCTTACCTGGTGTTTAATTGCTTCTGAAGTTCCATAACACTTGATGTATTTATCAGTAGATACTGGGCCTCATTCACCAGAGAAAGGGAGGCAGTAGTGCTGGACAGCTGATCTGAAAACCATGGAGCATGAAAAGAGCAGTTTCTTTCTTGGAACTTTAATAAATCTTGTTTACAGGGATATGCATTTTAAGCTAGACACTATCTACAAGGGGGTAAAAATGACCCACTGGTAAAAGCAAAAATGTTCAAAGGATCTTGGGAAACAGAAAAAAAAAGAATGTCTCGAATACTATAAAATAACCTAGAGAAGTTAGCAATAAAATGTTCAAGTGAAGTAAATTCTTCCAGGAAGGAAGGCTTGGAGACAATTCTTAGAGGAGGAGAGGTGGGGGGGGGGGAATGTGGGCAGGCATGCCTTTCCCCATACACAAGTAAGGCAGGAGGGTTTTGTCAGGACAGAAGGCCCAGAAAGAGCTTCTAAATCTAATAAGGAAAAAAAAGATACAACTGTAGAAGTAAATAGTAGATAATTTTAAACCATTGAAATGAAAGAAATTATTGAACTAAAATCTCAGATCCATTCAAAGCTGTTGGAAGCTTACCACCAGCTTCATTTCATGGGCCTGTCTTCTCTGTCTTTGACCAGGACAGTGATAGAAAGGGAAGATAGGGCCAGGGCCCACTGAGCATCTCCAGACTAGGACTGTGGACCCCCAAGTGCACAAAAATGTCCAAACTCTCCATCTCCAATTTATCAAAGGAGTCATCTTTGCTAAAATGGTTCTGCCCCATAAAGGGGGTGGGGTACAAATCTCAGCCTCTTCACAAAGGGCCTTTTCCCTGTCACAGAGCAAAGGCCACAGGTCTCTGACAATCTTAAGGATGGCAGACAAAAGCTCTATTCAAACCCCAGAGCTGAGAAAATAAAAAGTCTGCAAAGCCCAGGCCAATGATCTTCCTGTGGGTCAGATGGATTCCAAGTATTTGCTAGCCACAGAACTGCAGAAGCTAATTAAATCATCAAGTGACAGATGATGAAAGGGATTTTCATGTTAGATCCCTGTGCTCTGCTCATAGACCTTCAAGGAGAGATTTGTGTGATTGTGTATTAACCAAACTCCTTCTTTCCCCAGCTCTTTCTCACTTCAACAAGATTTCTCAGGAGATAGAGATGTCAGGCACTGGTAAGTTTGGCCATAGTAGACAGTCATTCATGGGTATGAATGATCCAGGAGCTCAGTAAAAGATTTCAACTATTATCTTCTATTTTTTAACTATTTTTACTCTTTATGTTTAATAATTATTCTCTTCTAAGTGTACTGTCTACATTTAAATACATCCAAATGTATGCATTTGTATACAATACATTTGTATACTAGATACTATTAACATTACAAGAACTCAGTCTAGCAGGGCACTGGGGGCTAATACCTATAATCCTAGCTACTCAGGAGAATGAGATCTGAGGATTGAGGTTCAAAGCTAGCCCAGGCATGAAAGCCTGGGATGGAGTTCAAGCCTGAAAACTGGCAAAAATAAAAAAAAATCAGTCTGGAAGAAATTCCTTAACAGACCTTACTGGTCCAAGCAAACTTCAAACCTTTTTATACATTTCAGTCTATAGTTTAGTTTTATAAAATTATAAAAAGGTGATCACTAAAAGAGTTCTAAGCATAAAATACATAACACAAAATTCAACTGAGGAAGTGGAAAATAAATTCAAGCTAAAGAAAAAAAGGGAAAGAATAAAATCTTTTTTTTTTCTTTTTCTTTTTTGAGCCAGAAATGAGGCTGCTCAGGGCCAGGGTGCTGTCCCTTTTAAATATGCTAGAAGTCCCATATTTTGCAACTGTCTAAACTATTTTTAAATAGATAATTTAAAATTGTATGAAGGAGGTTCAGCATGTGGCTAATACTAACTTTAATAATTATTCTATTTTAAATGCAGACTCCCAAAAATGACTAAAAACAAGACAGGCTCACACTCTGATCCTGACAGGCTTTCTGCTTTCTTCTCTCCTCTACACTCGCTAATTTTGTTCCATTCAGGCCCTCATCATCCACCAGGACTGTCCCAGTAGCCTGGCTCCTTTGCTCTCCAAGTCTCCTGCTTTGATGCATCTGCCACACTGAACTACTAGGGATGTTCCAAAACTTTCCAGTTTCAAATTTTCCCTGAGTTTTCATCCCTGAGAAGTGCTCATTGGGGGCCCACGTACCCCTTCTCCCCAGCCTCTCCTCCCTCGTACTACATCCCAACAATTGCTTATGATGGGAAAACATCAAACCTCTTATAAGTACTTCAAACTCTACAAGTTGAGGCACCAGGGAAGCCCAGGATCTGGAAAGCTGCCATCTCTGGCAGCTTGGTGACCATGCTAAAAGCTAGAAATGCAGGTTTTCTTTTTTTCAGATATAATCTGAGAACAGAGCAAACTTGCTTTTAAAAATTCAAACAGAGTTGTGTATAGGCATATGCCTCTAACTACTTGGGAGACTTGTGATCGGAGGCTGGCTATGGTAAAACCACAAGACCTCATCTAAAAAATCAAACTAAAGCAAGAAGGAGTAGGGGGCCTGGCTCATGTAATAGAGTATTCCATAGCATGCACACGGCCCAGAGTTCAAACCCCAATATCACAAAAAGAAAACCACCCATGCTTCTAAACACACAGAACTCTGAGGCAGAAGGTTTGAAGAGTTGAGATAGTTGGCCTATACCCTCCGGGGGGTCCTAAGGGGCTGTTGAACCCACTTGCCACGTAGTCCTGGGGCTACTCTAGCTCTTTCTGCAGAAGGCTGACCACCCCTGCCTTCTGCACATAAACAAGCCGGGGTCCCCCACTCTTACAAGAACCCATGCCAAATGTATACCTTTCCCATGTTTCTTCTTGGCATTTCGTTGGAAGTTTGAACTCTGTCTGATTAAATGACATGGACGGCCAAAAAACTTGGACAACCATTTTGAAATTTCTTCTCCACAGTCAAAAGTATTTACCCTGGATGGGGGTAGAAAAGGAGAGGTGAAGTTTTACATAGTGCTTTAAAATGACAGAATATTACGTGAGACTCTGGGAGAAGGTGGCAGGAGTGAATGGGAGATTTACAAGTCACAAGAAGACCTGTGTTGTGGGCTTACAGGAAGCTTTCAGACAAGATCAAAAGCTTTGCAAAATCCTCCTTAGCTTTTTGTATCTCAGGTTTTGCATAATAGACAATGCAATAAATGAAAGAGAAAGGGAATCACAGAAACAGCAGAACAATGGATGAACCACAGCAACGTTGATACTCACTTGACACTATGTGAGATATGAACATTACAACTTGTGGGGGAGAGGGGTAAGTGGGAGATAAAGATGGATGAGGTAATGATGATTAAAAACAAATGCGCTTATTGTCTTACCTATGGAACAGGAACCGCCCCCCCCTCATCTCCTTGTCAATATGAAAATTAAAAAAATAACATAGAAACTGGCCATGGTGACTCATGCCTATAATCCTAGCCAGTTGGGAGGTAGAAACCAAGAGGACTAACTGGGCAAAAAGAGGCTTAACTGGGCAAAAACTCAAGCTCCTATCCCCCAAATAAAGAAAACATAAAGGGCTAGGGGTGTCTCAAGCAATAGTGCACCTACCCAGCAAATCCAAGGCCTTGATTTCAAACTCCAGGATAGCCAAAAATAAAAAGATATAAATAAATAAAATAGAAATGCTATTACACTTAACTCCACTCACATTTCCTAGATATTAGCAGGTCATTTATCATTAGCAACCCAGATGAGATTCGTAACTCTCTGATACCTAACTTACAAGTTATCACCTCTGTGTTCCACTTTAGAAACCTGAGGGATATCTTGATAACGTCTTATCCTCATCCAATCCCTCAGTTCAATCAGGTAAACCTCTTTCCAGATTGTATGTCTGGGGCCTGATTTTTGCCCCGACCCTGGTGCAAGCCTGTATCTCATCTCACCTGTGTGCTAATGTAAGTGCTTAGCTGGCCTTCTCAAGTTCACCTGGATCCAACTACTCTATCCCCATCACCCGCTGAAAGTTTATGGCCCCCAAACCGTTGCCTGCAAGCCACTTCCTCCCACCCCACACTCTGCATGCAGCACCATCTCAGGCTCTACAAGGACTGCTCAGGGAGGGATTGAAAATAAATAGGAAATGGAAAGGCTTGGAAAAATTATATTAAGTGAAGTAAGCCAAGCCCAAAGAAACATAGGTCCCATGGTTTCCCTTATTTGCAATATCTA